AATAGTTCAGGACATACAACATCTATCAAAAAACACTTGTACAACTGTCTCTTACCACTCTCCCGGTGGGTGCGTGCCACTCTCCCTTCCTCACCACCCCAAAGGACCCGGAGCCCAGCTTCTCTCCCAGAAGCAGCTCGCTGTCCTGGATCAGACAGGGCAGAGCCCGACTGACACTCTCCTGACTCTGGGCCGGGCTGCCTCCGCTCCACTGCTCCCCACTGTCCAGACCTCGACTGCTCAACCCCTGTGTGCATCAATTAATTCATTAAAACAGCTGATTACTGCAATGCCTGATTACACACATTAGATATGAACATATTTCAGACCTTGGGAAGCCATGATCGTGATTTTGTCTTGTAGCGTTTCAGAGCATCCCATAATCTTCTTTGTGCTGCAAGAAAAAAAAACTGTAATTATACCCAACATGATATTTCTGTCTGATTTCAAAATCCCAGTTTTAGTGTTTAATCTAAAGTAAATGTTACTGTTTTATTAACATGTTTTAACCAACAATTACTCCAATGTATCCTTCAGCACAACACTGTTATTATTTCACTGATCAAACAGGATATTGGAGCAAAAATAACTTTATAAAAGTGATGATTAGTCAATTAATCAAATTGTTGATCAACAGAAAATGTATTCTTTGTTTTGATTAGGGCAATTATTAATGAAAATATTCTCAAATGTGCGAATTTTCTGCTTATTTCATATAATTGTAAATCTTTAAATTTTGGGATTGTTGATCAGAAACAACAAGACCTTTATAGACGTCACCTTCAGCTCTGGAAAATTGTGATGGACAATTTTCACAATTTGAAATCTCTAGCTGTTGAGAATTACACACACCTCCTGTTGTAACTCTCTCCACGTTTTACCATGTGTTGGTAGCGCCAAGTCACCACAAAAGATATGATGGTGATTTCTTAGAATACATTTTTATACACGCCCTCAAGTATCAGCATGTCAGAGAATAAAAATACATCATTGCTTTTGCAGAAAAAGGGTGTAATCCTAATATAAACAGAGTGCACATCCAAAAAAAAACAGTTGTTGGGTCTAAAAACAACCTGAGGGCAGAAGTGAGAGAAGAGATTGTCACACTGCACTGATCACTCTTAAAAAATGTATTTAACCAAATTAATCTACCAGACTTGTAGTGCAGAAGACAGCCACCTGACTGAGGGGTGTATTAATGTGTCAATATACTGATTTGCTCTGAGGAAGAGGAAGTCTTCCCTGTCTCAGAGGACAGACATGTCTTGGTTTTTACCAAGCGTGGATGATCAAAGGAGGCGATCACGCTCACCTGGTTTGCTGATTCCTATCTGCTCCAGGTCGGACTCCTTGACGTAGGAGAAGTGCTCGATGCGGGTGATGTTGAGGCCATCTCTCACGCGCAGGTAGAACTTCTCCAACTGGACCTCAGCCAGGAGTTGGTACAGCCACTGAGTGTCCTTGTCCATCAGCATGACCCAGCCCACCTGCCTTTAGAGCCAGAGGTTATAAGACAATGCAGGGACACTTATTTTATCTTTTGTTTTTCAGTTTTCCTTGTACATCTAAATTCCTTACATTAAATCTCATCAAATCTTTTGTTTTTGGTCATTAAAGGACAGAAACTGAGCGCTCAGCTATGTTTTCCAGTCTGGGGACCAAAGACAAAACCCAAAGACACAATTACAAACCAGTGCTCTATCTGAATCTTCCCCATCTCATTAAAGAGCCTGTTAAACCGCAACTTTGCTCCCACTCTGGCCTTGTTAGGTTACCATGGAGACCTAACAAAAAGCCCTTGGTGTGAAATGCCAGAGGGGGATTGCTCAGCTTTTGTCTGTGTGCCAACTTGTAACCAGTTATTTGTCAGTATCATATGAGAAGGAATCTCATACTGGAAACTAATTAACTGTATGTGGCAACATTTCAAAGTAGCAGAAGAGCATATATGAACATGAAGGTACACCTCAACATACAGGCCGTTAGCTGCTCGAATGAGAGTGAAATCACATGGGCGAAGTGGTGAAAGGTGACAGAAGAAGCACTGGAAGCGGAGGCATGCAAAGAGGAAAGGGTGGACGAAGGGGACAGGAAACGAACAAAAGATTTCATATTTCGTATCAGTGCTGTTCACTGGGTTGTGAGTCAGACTGAGTCCTGACGCAAACTGACAAACTGAGAGGTGGAAACATTATCTTGTTGGTGGTTTAGAGGCACCAGTCAGACAGGATCCTGTTCACACAGTATTTATTTAACTGCTGAAGACATGCTGTGTGTTGACAGCGGCCTGACTCTGTTATAAGGCTGACTGTGGCGTCATTTACACTTACAGACCTTTGAGGTTGACAATTAAGTAATTACAGTGCCCTGAGCCGTGAGTGCAATAACAAGAGATGATTATGTTTGCCCAGCTTCCTTATTGCTTAAAAACTCAAATTAAAACGCAGCCAATTCCTCTTTTGTTGGATATAATCTTCCGTTCATGTTACTAGAAGGTTGTTCGGCCATAAATCACCTGCTTATCAGCACGCCGAGCCCAGCAGGTATGAGTCAGGGAACATTCCCCTGTCAGCTACCCCGGGAAAAGAATGAACATTTACAACAAACAACTAACACTAGCTACTTCGTCTGCAGCAGCGAGTCGGCTTATTCTTACACTGATGCTGCAAAAACAAGGCAAGTGGGAGAGGGTGCTAGCCTGGGCTTGCATTCATTTCCCAGGGACAACTCCCAGAATTAATTTGCACCTGACTTAAGTGACTGTGAGACTCGGCAGGACACATTCAAATTCAAAAGAACACACTTAAGTGGTGCATGCTGGTAAACACAGAGACCTCTGTGATCTCTCTGTGTACATAGTGATGAATCTTTAACCTGCACAGCTACTGAAAAAAAAACAACCTCTCAGCCTCATGGCATGTGTGACCAAGAATCCAACTATTTAGCTAATGGCTTAATGTGGTTGAACGGTCACTGGTTAAACTGGCCCTGACTTTTATCTTACAAGGCATTATCTGCAACTTCAAACTGCCAACAGCGGTGTTTATCCAGTAAGGCCACACTTGTGTCGGAGAGCATTTGTTTACAGTGGCCATGCCGGCTTCCTCTGACTGACTCCCAAGAACAAATCAAGATCACAGCCCACACACTTGAGAAGCTCATTCATCTCTGACAGAGCTGCATCGGCACCAAACATGACTATAGATCACGCTCATATAAGAGAAGTGAAGGGTGTGCCTCTTTGAAGAACTGCCCAAGATGTTGTGCATTTTTTCGAAGTATAGATATGAGCACAGGAGTGGAAGACATATTTACATCTTTTACCTCAGTCAAAGTAGCAATAAATGTACACACACACACATATATAATGTACTTGTATATGTGTAAATATAAGTACTGTTTATGCAGCAGCCGCTCTCAGTGTTATGTTATTATATGTTATGTTGTTGGATTACTATCATTGATGTGTTAGCAGCACCTTCATGTTTAAAGTCTATTTTATGAACTGTATAGCTTATAGTAGTTTAATATATAATAATGCACCATCATGACCACGTTTTGTACATAAAACCTCAATTTGAGAACTAAAACTACAGAGCTATGTCAAATAAATGCAACATTTCCCTTTGAAATAAAGTTCATAGTATCATAAAACTCAACTGAAGTATCTAAAAGTGTAATTAAGTAGTTTATATTTAAATGTAGGCCTTCTTAGTTTATTCCAAATCTTGTAAAAGAGACACAGTATGGTCCTTTGGGATATCTGCCATTCATGTTTACTCTCAATTATACAGTAAAAGGACATTACATGTAGCATTAGGGTCTTCAAACACGTTCACAGACAGATATAAGATCTGACACTTACCGTTAATCAAAATAATTCAGGTCTCCGGTAGTTAACAGCTACTTCTTAACCACACACGCCCCGAGACAAGTGATCCATGTTTGCTCTGAAACCTCCAGCGACGTCGACGGAGGGGCTTTTTTTTTCTTTTCACAAATCACAACTTCTCTCTGAATCCTAAAATAGCCCCAAATAATCCCCAATCTGACGGATTCGTGCAGAAGATCAACACACGGAGATATATAACCTGTATACTATGTTACATGTGAGCCACTAAGCGCCTCACTGATCTACCTACCTGTGTGTTTTCGGCTCTTTTTCTCCGCCTCTTTCCAGTTTCCTCATGTGACCACACCCCTACTTTACTCACCTGAGCTTGCAACAGCACAAACATCCATACAATACTAAATTCCCTGCACAGGTAATGACGTTACCTGATGCCATAAGTCATCAGCACAAAATAACAGACATAGGTCACCAATTAGTAACCATGTGGCAATGTGGTGGAAAATAGAAGTTAAACTCACATTGGATGCACTTTTTAAAACACGTTTTACACAAACAAGTGGATTTAAAGTTAATAAACTCAATTGACTCTTTATTAAGTACATCTACTTAGAACAGTTTTAGCTTTAGTTTTAATAATAATAATAATAATAATAATAATAAACCCTATAATGTGTAGTCTTTGTGTGAAGCTGTTTTAGTGTAGAAAGACGTATAAAAAACACCTCATAAAAATACAATTAAATTCAGCAGTCGGCTACCACAAATATCAGCCTCTAAAATGACCATAAAGTTCAGCAGCAGGACTGTTGTATATTGCATTAATGAAGCTATAGAAGTGTGGGCCTATAAACCTTCAACTGAATAAAATGGGAATATTAAAGCAATTAAATCTAGTTAATTATCATATGACTATACAGCCTAATTTGTTCTGGTGTGTTGTTTTCCTTACAGTAATTGATCACAAACATCTTTTTAACTGCTACCATGACTCAAGTTATCTAATAAAACTTCCTATAACTCGTGGCGGAGGTACACATTATTACTGTCAATAACATTATTCATTCTCTCCACTGCTATTATGTCTAATGAAACTTGCAATTACCTATGAGTCAAATAAGGAAACTTGAATGGTTTTCTGTCTCTGTCTCTCCTTCATGTCTGCTGTTGCCAAACAAGTTTGACAGGATTTTTTTCTTTCTCCCAAGAGGCTGATCATTTGAATGCAAACTGTGGCGGACCTGACTGCACTTTGCACTTCCTGGTACAGTATGTCCCACACAATCCTCCCTTCCTGCCTCAATTACTCAACACACAATAGATTTCAGTAGATCAGCCATTCAAAGGACCCTGCAAACAGGAGCTGCTGTGGAGATCTGTTTACACCTCTCGATGCACTTCAAACCAAACCAGATTAAGAAACCGGTGGTAGTTTTGTTTGATGATTGAGAGCTTGAGACTTATAGCAGAATGAAATTGGGTTTTTAGGAATTCACATTAGTTTCTCACAATGCTGCAGCCAAGAGCTTAACAAACAATACAAAAAAGCACAAATGATGACCGGGTAACAAAGCATCAGCATAACTCACAATTCATGTAAGTCATCATTAACCCACCCGACAGGTATTTAGACAGCAACTGGTCATTTCCAGGATTTGATGAGCAGTTGATTCTTCAGGGCTAACAAGGAGTGTGTGTTTACAGTTCTTCTGCTGCCTTAAACCTCTGAGGCTAAAGTTCCTGAGTGTCAGTTTACACTGTGCAAATGTGTGAAATAATGCACAGAAAGAATATTGGCATTTCGATGGGATCAAACCAACAAAATGATTAATAATTAATATTATTTAAGCCCTCAGATATGCTGTAATTCTCACAATGTGTCCTGGACAGGCAAGGTGATTAAAAAAAGATAAATAAGATTAGATTACACTGTGTCGATCCCCTGAAGTGAAATTAAGAGTAGAAAAGTAGAAAAGTAAAAGTAGAAAAAACCCCTCAAATAACAAATAGTTAACAAAAAGTTAGAAAGCTATACACAGCACATTACCACAAATGTAATAAAAGCAAAACCAGTTTTCACATATTCCAGACGAAACTGACACTGTTGACATATGTTAAATAAATACTTTAAATTATTTGTGTAGCTTTTTTGTGTGCACTATTCCCTGCACCATCTCTTCACATTTGCGTGTGTGTGTCAAACATTGAGTGAATTTTCCCATTGGGGATGAATAAAGTTAATCTTCTTCTTCTACTGTGCATAAGAGAGATCACAC